ATTATGGTTTTATAATGATGATTGTATTTTATTCTTTTAACACTTTTTTGGATAGAAATACTGATCTAAAAGTTTTTTTTAGGAACTTTTTAGATTTTAAATTGACATGCGGTGGTACTTTAGATAGGTTATTTTTTAAAATCTTAATAGTTTTTCCAGATGTAAGGAAAAAATTGTTCTGAAACGGTAAAAATACGCTGTAAATAAGAGTTTCACTTTTCAAATTTTAGTAATTTAGTCATAATTCCAAAAGTAATGTATCTAGAAACATGTAAATTTTACTCTATAGCGGATATTTTTATTCGTATTTGAAAACATTTTAAAAAAGCGCTTTTAATTTAAATATAGAACTTAAAAAATATCAAATTTTTTGAGAGTCTTTATGTAATAAAATTGTTATTTTTGGATATGAGATAAAAATGTAATATCACCTTTCCCATATATGAGTACTTATTTACCGATAATGAAAAAAATCATTAGTCTGATATGTATATATATATATGGCAAACTCACAAGACAATCACAACTGATATCGTTCCGAGTTCGTGAATTGTATGTGCTAAAAACCATATGGTATTATGTCGTTCTATAACGGATAAAGTTCGATTAATTGTAAACAACGACGGGAATTCCGAAAACCAATTTTAATTTGATACGATGACGATAATTGGAGAAATGACAAACCATTTTTTTTACATTTTTTTTATTTATTCTGTGATTGATACCAAATTAGATTCTATAAAAGTTTTTAAATTGAATGAATGAAAGTTTTGAGGAATTCCTTGTCGGTTTCAAATATATTTCATACCGGATTCGAGTTTTTCTGATTGCCAAAAGCGAGTCATTTTTTACTGAAATAGCTGTCGGAACCCAACCATCTTAACTTTGTTTTCCCATTGACGTCTTGACCACTCACACATTTTATAAGTAATTTAGTAATGTAAATTTTATTGTATTTAATTGAATATAATTCTTTAGGTCGTATAGTTTATTACGTATATATATACGTCATATATCATTGTTAAAAAATAAAGAAAAAACACTTTCATGTATAATATATAGGTTTTAGAAATTACGTGATCTATAAATATTTCTATTATTAAAAATATTATGGTGTAATATATCGTATTATTACAGAGGAGATAAATATTGAAGCCTTAAGTGGAACTTCAAAGCCGCTTTGGTAGAGTATACACTTGACAATGAACAGTTTTTAAAACCCGTCTTAAGCTTATTGGGAATTCCGTACTACACACTATGATCTATAAGTTAAGCGGCAGTATATCATCGTTGGAAGTATTTTTGATGTGAGATGAATTCATTGTTTAAAAATAGGACGTCTAAACAATATTTGGTAGGTATTTACGCTCAAAAGATAAACTAACGGAATCATTTTCTAACAAATAAGCGTATGAATTCCAATACGAAATGTTATATCAATTATAAAAATCATTTTTGTGATCTCTCATGGTTACGAATTGGTCTATATTTCTTTTGCTTTTAATTACATATTACAACATCCGTTGTACACATTAGTAATTTTGGTGAAATATCTAAAAATAAATATACTTAAAATGTAGCTTCTGAGCTTGGCATTTTCTTGACATTGATTTGTCTTATTGTGTTTTTCGGCTTTCTTCTCGTATCCTTTTAATGCATGCATTTGTTCTGCAAACACAAAGACAGTGATGTAAACCGTGTAATCGGCAGAAACTAAATCATCGCTACAACCATTACTTTTCCCAAGGACATTTCTCCACCATCCGTTTAATTTGACACCGAATTGTGGAGGAACATTATTTCTCGATCTTGAACGGACGCGCAACTCCCATAGATGAAAAATGGAGAATTTCCCCAATCGATTAGTCCCAACTATTTTCATTTCAAACCCCGTTTCAGGAACCTATTAAGATCTGGATATCAGGCATGTTTCGCAGTTTGTACATGTCAGAACTAGTTCTATTTGTTTCTTTCCATTTCACTCTCTTTCTCTCTCTCTCTCTCTCTCTCTCTCTCTCTCCCTTTCATGTCACACAGTGGTTGACTTCCTCTACAAATTGGATAGACGACATAGTCTTTTACGCCGCAATGTAATTTTAGTAAAAAAAAAAAATGTACGCTATTCGTCGTAAGTAATGTTGGTAAATGTGACGATGTAATTTATCTGCCAGCAGATTCTATCCATAAATAATAATTGTATTAGAAAATGAATTCTAGTACGTCATTATACTTTATTAACGCTTTATTTGACACAAATAATTTTACTCAAAGGATCGATGATACTACTCGTATAACTTAATTGTGCAGATAGTGTATTAGTTCATAGTTTGAACTTAATTAGATTAGAACTTTTTAAACATCTAGTCCTAAATATATAAAGTTTTTAATAATTTTAGTACAAAATAATTGAGTATTATATTCATAATTTCATTTATTATTTTTAGTAAGTATATGAAAATTATTATATTTTTTACGCTGCTTTTCCATTAACAAAACTCTCATATTTATTATTTATTAGATAATTTTATAATATCATTTATTATTTTTTTACTAAGTTTATTTTTTTTTTTAACTTTTCTTGTAAATTATTTTTAACTCGAATTAGAACACTAATATTTTAATATCTGTATAGTCACTTGTATTAATACTCGATTCATAGCAATTATTCTGAAGGTGTAAATTAAGTATAATTATATTTTATAAAAATATTTTTAACTCCTTTTATTAATATGCTACAGTATAGAGCAATGAAAATGTTTTATTAATAAAAAATGTACAACTTCTCCGATAAATATTTCTTATTGTATTACTACATATATAATTTAGAGTCATTACTAATAATATTACTTACCATAATCGAGTGATTTAAGTCTTTATTTGCAAAATTTTAGTATTTTAATGTAACCAGTGAGTTTGAAAACTGAAACATGAGCATCGTTAAAATTTGAATTGAAATTTATTAAAAACTGTTTGTTCTAAGCATTTCATTCATGTGCTAAATTGTCAACGTTATTTTACAAGCCTACCGATTCGTAATAATATTTTATGAATAACTAACCACCAGTTTTTTGGAATGCAAATATTGAGTTGATATCTTTAGACATCATATGATATCATATGGTAATATATATTATATTAATTTTAAATGTTATTTTAGAGAAGGGGAAAATGACACAGAAAGTATAGAGTATTTTGTGAAATAACGAACAGAGAGTGCAAAGTTTCACATGCAATTAATAGTTAGTATTGCCAACTAATCTAAACATTCAGTGAAACTTGTTTTATCCAAGAAGAACGTTTTAATGATAATTTATATCCCAGGGTAAGGATATTTTATAAAAGAAGATAGGTCAGAACAAAAATAAACATTCTACACGATTGTGTGGGGTAAATCTTAATTTACTTACTGCTATAATATTCCTCGGCTGTATGCTGCTCCAAACTAAAAGCAAATTGAACTTATAAAAACTTCCATCGCAAGATATATGCAAAACGAAACTATCTCTTCCTAATTTGGATCTTTGCATTTTGATTGGCAAAAATCAATTGACAATAATTAGAAAGATTTTTTTTAAAAAAAAAAAATTATTTAATCAATTTTTCATTATACGTTTATAATATAATTATAATTTAATACTATCAAGTCAGGATAAGAGAGAAAGAAAAAAGTTGTAACATTAACTAACATTAAATTACTTCATAAAATATATATTTAATATAAATTAAATATAGTTATTTCCATTTTATCAATGTATTTACATAAAATTTAAAACATACACATATTTATTAAATTTTTCGAGTATAAAATAAGAAATGTATTGATTTTATAATAATGTATTTTTCATTTTTCTGTAAACAATTTTTCAATTAGTAAATCTGCTCCAAAACTTCTATTGGCAAGTCATTTCCATTTAAATCTTCCTGAAGTTTTGATTAGGTGTTCATACTTGAAAATTTAATACCATCTTACTTGTATACTTATCTAACAACACTGAAAAAATGTATTTAACCAGAACCTTATTTTATAAGCATTTAAAAAAAATGTTATACAATTTTTACAAAATTTACTGTTTTTACTTACATTTTCAGCTTAAAATGTTTTTTTGAAACAAATCGGTCCATCAATTCTTATTAAAATTTTAGATATGACTAGAAAAACATATTCTGAATATTTGAACAAAAATATTTTCCTTCGTCAAACAAAAAAATATTAAACATGTTGATAAAAAAAAAAAATAACCTACCGACAATAAGACTAAAAGTGGTAAAATATGTAAGCGGTATATTTTTATATTGAAGCTTTGATCAGAATCATTACACTAAAGAAATGAGTTATAGTGTTTCTAAAACTTAATACGTACATTACCTATATACAGAACGAAGACCAAAAGGACGATTTTCTGCTACCATTATTTTACCGGTGTTTTTTTTTCTTTTTTTTTCTTTTTAATGTATTGTATTAAATAATTTTTTTTTTATACAATTGTGGTTTTATTTGTAGTTTTATTATGTTAGCTGGTTAGATAAATTAGTATCAATGAGTTAACATACAAAAATGTTAGTTTAAACCACTCGAAAAAAAAAATTATAGGCATTAGGAATGATGTAAATTAATTTTTTTAGCTAAATGAAAAACAGATTTTTAAGAAAAATATTTTAAACGTGTACTTATGAATGCAGTTTTGAAACTTCAACATTGCAATTTTTAAACGCATTTTTTTTAGATAATTAATTTTCCTCTTTAAAGCATTAACTAATCTTAAAACTCATAATTTTAATTGACTCGTAAAATAAATTTCTGTGTGTATATAAAAATCAGATCGAATATAATATATTCAAACATTAAATTTGTATCGATTCAGTAAACTTTTTTTCTCCAGATAAATAAATAATTCGAACACTAATAAAAATACTAATAAACGAATAATGATTTTATTGTAATATTAATATTATTAATAAGGGAATTCAATCCAATAAACTATAATAATGCGCATGCGCAAACACGTTGTTCATAAATATCTTGAATGTTTAATGTTACCACACCGAACGCCAAAATCTTCGGATGGTAGTGCAAGATGATGGCACCTCATCTTCTGTACGTATTAATATACGCAAATATTGTACATGCAAAATGCGTATGCCGCATATAATATTATATATGCCGTACTTGAACTATAACATTTTACAGTATTATCGTTCGCTGTTCATGGGCTTGGTTCGATATGGCCTCATCATTGTTTTTGCTTGATGTTCTGTGTATCTGCAACAATAGGTTTTTTAATTAATTTTGTTGCTTTTTAAAAAAACGTGTGTATGGATTAGTGATTGGAATTAGGATCGAATGGTGTGAGATTTTTCTTTATTTGATTTATTTTTCCTTAAATATCAAAAGGATTCAAGTCTTCTACGCCCTTTTAGTGATTATATTTTAAAGATACAAACTAAATAGAATGAATATGAAATAAATACATTATCATTCTTAATTTTTTTGTGTAATCGATAGGGATATTAAATGTTTAGTAATTATGTAGTGTAGTATGTATAGCATGTATAATATAATAAATATAAAATAAATAAATAATAAATAATATAATAATATAATAATATAATAAATATAAAATATAAAGTAAAAAAAAATAACATCCAGAGACAAAATAATAATTGGTTGATTAAAAAAAAAGATGGTTTGAAATCAAAACTAAAAAAATAAATATTTGAAAAATCAATCATAACATTATGATGAGTTTGATGCCCTTCTTTTGATATTTAATAAAAAAGTAATTGCCATAAATTGTTGTATATATATATATATATATATATATATATATATATATATAATAAATGAAAATGGTATATATATATATATACCATTTTCAATTCATTCTCGCTTTCATCCTCCAAATCCTCGTCTTCCTCCTCCTCATCGTCGAACTCATCATCCGTAGTCGAATCTGAATCAGTAGATGGATTATCACAGATGACTTGCATATATTCTTCGTGAGTCTTTTCCATCAACTTTTTTCGTTCATCGTCGTTCAAATTTGGATCTGCATTCAGAGCCTCCATGGTTTGGCAGTACTTCTCGGAGGCTAATAATAATACCTCGCTAAGTTGTTTTTCTTTCTCCTCCTTTTCTTCCTTTTTTTCCTTTTCCTCCTTTGTTTCCTTTTCTTTCTCCTCAATATTTTGTGGCTTCCGGAATGTATTTAATGTATGTAATTCAACAGTAGTTGTCGTTAGTGGTTCAACGTTACACATGGTTACGTTGTCACCTGCATCCTTGAAGTATTCGGTATTTGCGTAGGGATAATGTAAGTCCGTACCGAAACTACCGTTGGCAGTCGAATGGAATTGTTCGATTTGGACGCAGGGATAACCTATGCCCGTTTCAAAACCCCCATAAGCAACCAGATTGGATTGTTCGGGCTGAGCATGGGGATATCCCGTGTCCGTTCCAAAACATCCGTCGGCAACCAGAGTAGAAGATTGTTCAAGCTGGGAGTACTGATAATTCATATCAGTATTGAAGCCATCGTTGATAGTCGGATGGAATTGTTCGATTTGGACGCAGGGATAACCTATGCCCGTCTCAAAACCCCCATAAGCAACCAGATTGGATTGTTCGGGCTGGGCAAAGGCATATCCCATGTCCGTTCCAAAACATCTGTCGGAAACTAGATGCGAAGATTGTTCAGTCTGCGAGTACTGATAATCCATATCCGCATCGAAGCTACCGTTGGAAGTCGGATGGGATCGTTCGGTCTGGACATAGGAATTACCCATGCCCGTTCCAAGACATCCGTCCGTAACCAAATCAGAGCATTGCTCGGTCTGGGAAAAGTGACATACCATATCCGTATCGTAATCACCTTCATTAGCAAGATCAGATGTGTTCATCGGACATTGGCACGGACACGGACAATTGTACGGGGAAAGGCACCGACATGTTGTACTGGAGTTTAACGAACATTTTGAATCCGACAGAAACATTTTCCTACAATATAAACATAATACGTTAGTCGGTAAAAACTCGATTGTATTTGAAAATTATATATTCATACACGCGTACAAGTCTAAATGTACGAAGAGATAATAAAACGGGATTCATAATAATTATCGTATCAATGTTGCGTGAGCACGATGGCACTATATCGGACCGATAAGGACAAATCAATTGTTATGTAGAATCAAGTTTTACATATTTCACGTAGTACATTTATGTGCCGAAAAGTGTTCAAATTTATAATGTCATTAACTACTGTCTGTAATTACGTCTTTTGTAGTATGATTTGAGCTACGTGATTTTGAAGTGAATGGACTTTCGCACATATTGCTCTATAGATGCTTAACCTATACTAGAAATGTCATTTTTATCGACTATTACGACAATGGTACTAGGTACAACAACCGTAATGAGCTTACAGCAACTGACCATATTTTTACTTACCCCATAAGATCAGTCAGTGAATCGACGGTCCTTGTGTCCATCCAACGGTCCACAACGCAGATTCTTTTCGGAGCGTTTTGTCAAATGGTCTCGTTTTCATAATCATCCCGTTTCCTCTTTTCTCCTTTTCCTGGAATAAAAGAATGTACCATTACAAGCTGCAGATATAACCGTTATTTTGAATCATTCCAATGTTGAAATGGTTCTCCATCGAATCAACTTCTATTTAAGGTTTCTTCCGATGTCTTACCGCTAGCCATCAGCGTCATAAGGTATTTATGACTCTTGAACATAAACATTTTTCGATTCGCGGAAAAAAATGTTAATAATAGTAAAGAATATTCTAATGCGTGTCGTTTTAACGAATGCCGAATTAGAACTAACGTTTTTCAATCAGCGTTTTAAAGTCAATATAAATAATTACTTGACAACGATATTTTTGTTGTCCTAGGATATTGGAATAAACGTTGTACGGCCAAATACGTAGGCCATTTCTTTTACTACTGTATTTGACGAATGTATTCCGTGAGTGGTGAAGGGAATCTTGCCGAGGACTTGAACGGGTTTGCGGACCTGGGTGCAAAATTTTGAGTAGTGCCTGAGAGGTCGCAACGAATGGTACTTGATTTAACAGCCCATCAACACAAAATAGATTATTCGTAATTAATTATTTTCTATTTTAACTGAAATCATCTCCATTAAAGTGTTATTCATTATTAAATATAAAAAATAGCAGCTTATTGATGCTGTTCAGATATTGAAGTAGAGAATTGGTCTAAAATTTAAGCCCAATATTGATTTAAACAATTTTAGAAAAAAATATAATTTAACAACGATCTGTTAACAAGTACTAATAAATATATATATAAATATAAATAGTTGTCAGTATTGACATAATTATAAATGCATCATGATGACTTAATGATTTACTATACATCAACAGAATTCTAAAAAAAATTGAAAACTGCTAAATGTAATATAGTTACCTTCAATTGAATAGGTTGCAGATATCCATTGCATTATTTTGTTTGATTTTGACCCGTGGATAATAAGAATACTTATTATTTATACATCAATGTGTTTCTACTAAACACTTAAAAATATATACATATATATGTATGCAGGGTATCCCAGGATGATTTGATAAATGCAATAACTATCGTTTTGTTAATTTTTTTTTAAAATTTTTTTTTTTTTTTTTTAGTAAATACTTAGGTCCTGTGCTACAACAAAATGCTATATGGTTTAGAGTATTGGTCAATTGACAAGAGAATAGAACAGAGTATGGTGTTGCGTAAATGAGAATGCTTAGATGAACGAGTGGAATGACAAGAGAAGATAGAATAAGGAAAGAATATATGAGAGTTAGTACTGGTGTAGCATCGATAAATGAAAAAAAATAAACTTAGATGGTTTGAACATATGATGAGGCGTGAGCAAATAAAAAAAGTAAGAGTAGTTATGAAAATTAACATTAAAGGGAAAAGAGGAAGAGGAAGACCTATAAAAAGATTGTTGGATGCAATCGAGAATAATAAGAGTTGGTGTGTGCGTAGGGGTCATAAAAATCGAGATGACTGGAGGTTTAGGATAAGGGTGGCTGACCCCAAATAGTTAGGAGAAAGATAAGAAGAAGAAGAAGAAGAAGAAGAAGAAGAGGTACCATTTTTGTATATTCTATTTAGATAAAATTGGTGGTTACGATTAATTTTTCCATGAAATTATGTACGTGATTTAAAATATTCTGTGCATTTGATATTTAATCCAGACATAAATAGAACGTGTTATCAGTATAATTATTATTGAAGTAGAAAATAAGAAAGTAATTATTCACTAAACATTTAATGAATATTTAATTTAATATTTATAGTTTTAACTAATAATATGGTATATATTTTATATTGATTGCATTCGCTAGTAATCGTGTAGAGCCGTATTTTTCAACCTAGGGATCGTGAAATATGGTTCGGAGGTCCTTAAAAATAATAAATAAATGGTTATTCAAATAAAAAAATATATTATTCTTAATACAATTTGATTATTACGAATTTAAAATAACATATCGAATAAAATAAGCGTGTGGCATAATTTTATCTGACGATGGATTATTAACTGTAAACAAATGTGATTACCGATTTTAATTTAATTGTCATTTAATATCTGGTTATACTTACACTTGTACTGTATATGTGTATTTCAACATTTTTAATCACAAGTTTAATATTTAATTACCAACACTACTAATCAACGGATCTACAATTCCCAACAAAAATACCATCAAAATATTAGAAATTATATTCGACAAAAAACTCAATTCAAAAACACATATTAAACATTTAAAAAAGAAACATCATTAAGATCCAATGTTTTAAAAGTTTTATCACACACAACTCGAGGTTCACAAACTCAAATACTCATATAGATATATAAATCACTTATAAGATCTAAAATAGATTACGAATCAGAAATATACTCCTCAGCTAAAAACCAAATCCTAAAAATTATTGACCCAGTTCATAACACAAATTTACGACTATCTATAGGAGCATTAAAATCTAGCTCAACCGAAAGCATATACATAGTAGCTAATGAGGTCCCACCCTGGTTACACCGAATAAAAACTTCCCTCACTTATGCTGCAAAATTAACTAAAAACAATCAAGAAGACATAATACCTAAACACATTAAGGTGATAACAAAATCAAATTAACTAAACCTATCAAACATAATTAAACATAAAATTATTCAATCACCTCCTTGGCACAATAATATCAAGATAATTTCTGAACTTTATAAATTCAAAAAAAATAAAACAGATCCTATAATTTTCCTTAATATTTTTAAAGATATAAAAAACAATTTGACTGGCGAAGACATCTACACAGATGCTTCAAAAAGTGAAAATAGATTAGGCCTTGCAGTCATTACTAAAAATACAAATATATGTTACAAATGATCTAATCAAATTTCAATATATACAGCCGAAGCATTAGCCATTATAACAGCCCTCAACTGTATCAAAACAAATCCCATACTAAAATATAACATTTTCACAGATTCATTAAGCATCATACAGAGTATACAAAATAATTTCCAACCCAACGAAATTTCTACAATAATAATAAACAAAATACAGTTATTAAAATAAGCTAACAAAATTATAAACATAATATGGATACCGGGACACTGGTAGCGAAGAAGCAGATCGACACGCAAAAAGCGCAGCAACAGCAATAGAAACACCCAATTTCAATTTAATAACTTTTTCTGACATAAAAAAATCCATAGCTTTAATAACTCACTACACCTGGCAAAACAATTGGTCAAAACAATCAACAAAATTAAATATAATAAAACAAAATATTGAACCTTGGCCTCAAATCCACACCTAGAGAAAAATAAACTCGATAATTAACCGATTAAGAATAGGACACACTCAATTAACTCATGGTTATTTAATGGACAACAAAGAACCAACATAATGCTCCTCATGTAATGAAAAACTATCAATTAAACATATAATATAATAACAGAATGCCGCTCATACCTCATCGAAAAAATCAAATATAATTTCCCTTCAAACTTGTACAAAACAATAGGACCATATATCTCCGACAACTTAATTCTCTTCCTCAAGGACACCGGACTGGACAAATTAATATAAAATAAAATAAACAATACTTTTTCATATCACAACCTTTTTAATATGTAAATAATCTAACAATCATTTCTCTGAAATTTAAAAAAAAAAATGTAACTAATGGCCATAGCTGCCGAAGATGTAATTTCGATAAATAAAAAAAAAAAAAAATAAAAAATATATTTAACTATATTTAATATAAAACCTGATATAGAAATTATAATTTCAAAAATTTAAACACATTAAAACGAGAAAATTGATAATATACAGGAGCGTATTTAGTGGAGGGACTACTAGATGAGCTACCGATAAAATATTGAGACGCTACTCAAAGTATGGGACGGTCATGAATGCTTTGGCCGATATTTTTGCAAATGATAATGAAAAAAATAAATCAAACATAAGTATAACATATAATTTAATTGAATAATTAAACTGTACAGTTAGAATAGAAGTAATGAAATGGTAAAATTAGTGTACGGTCGTTTCTATGGTGATTTTTATAGGCACATTTATCTCATAACAAGTTGACAACTCAATAAAATATTCTATATGTTCTTTATTATTACGCTTGAAGCAATAATCAAGAAAAAATTAAAATAAAATAATGTGTGTAATATATATACTCGTATATTCTTAAATGTTTGCAACTAAAATGTCAGCTACATTGTACCTTCAAACCAAAAATATGCATGTAATTATTGGAATAGGTAATGAATATACCATTATAAAATAATTTGTTATCTTTTTTTTTTTGTAATTCATTTTTTTTTTTTTTTCATAAGCTTTCATTAATATTAGTATATGATTAATTGCTAAAATTATTATATTTGGTCCGTAAATTAATTTATACTCAAGCAAATTGTAATAAAAAAAGAAAATAATAATTGTGTTTTGTTATATTTTGTATTAAGAAAATATAATTTTAAACCATTTTTTTTTTTTTTTTTTAATAAAAAATTATTAAATATTAATCGAATTTAAATTTTAATTTATTTTTATTATTTTATTAAATTTTAAAAATTACCTGTATGGTATAATATTTATTTAACATTATGTGGATTGTGATGATTGATTCCTTTCAGGGAACTTTTTGAGGCATAACCGAGAAGTTCTCAATGTGCTTATACCACTTTCAAATAATAACATATGCATATTAGAATACTCCAGTGTACTATTAAAAACTTTTTAAAAAATATTAAAAAAAAAAAAAAAAAAAAAAAAAATGAATAAAAGGAGAAAATAAAACAACACAATTTGTATAATTGTTTTACTATACAATTATATACATATTGGTACAATTTAATAAAAAATACAAGTATAAATTAACAAATTGTGAACTTTACATGGTTATAATTATCGTATACAGAAGTATTTAAGATTAAAATTAAATTTTTCACAACATTATAATATTTTTATGGTCTTATTTCCTATTTAAGTAAAAATAAGTTAAAACTATATCAGTTGGGAGGGTTCCAATGGTTTTGGTCCACCCTTTCTCTTACACGTGCATATCATTAAAATTTACAGTTATTTTTTAATATAAATTTTTTAAAGACTCTTCCCCTGTATCTGACACTAATGTCAATGATGTTTTGTGCAATAGTCAAAGGGTGAAAAAAAATTGGATTTATAACAATAACTATTTTTTTTTTTTTTTATAAAATTGACAACATTCACTTAACCAACTAAAAATTTAATAGCATTTACTGACGGGTTGCGATTATACAGTATACTTTTATAAATCTTAATAAATTTTAATAATTAAAAAAATGCAGCCAAAAATTGGAAAAAAAAACATTCATTAAGTAACCTCAAAATTAATATAAT